TATTAACTTTTTTTAATCTTCCCATTTTCTTGGCTCAAGACTGGGTGTTGGATGAAATAAATAGTTGCTTTAAAGGAAATAAAAAAATTATTTGACTCAAGGTAAATTACTTGACGTGAGAACATGATATTCTTGATTCAATACTTTTTCGAGACTTGGCGCATGTAAAACAGTTCGTTTGAAACAGTAAGATATTTACTTATGTCAAACCCATATTTTCTTATTTCAATAACTTTGATTAATGCTCAAAATTACTTGACACAAGAAAATAAATTTCTTCCAATAAGAAAATATGGGTTTGTTTCAAATAAATCAGGTCAAGAAAATGCATTTACTTGATTCAATGAACTTTTTTTTCAGTGTATTACTTCAGAATAATACAAAGTAATAATTTGATTATAAACTTTTTTAAAAATGCACGCATAGAAAGGGTTTGCTGTGGCAGCGAACATTTTGCTGCCACAGCAAACCTTGTTCGTTGAAATAGGGACAGCGAAAAAGTTCGCTGTGAGATCAAACAAGTTCGCTATGACAGCAAACTCGCATAAATTTTTACTAATGTTTGCTGTCACAGCTAACATGTTCGCTGCCACTGCAAACTTCTTAGCTGCGGTAGCTAATTTTCAGAGATGTTACAGCAAACATATGTTTACTGCTGCAGCTAATTTCTTTTTTTCCGTGTGGTAATATTAATTCATAAATGTACATGATTTCCCCAAATTGCAATCAGTTTTACTAAATACTAATATAATAATACGAAATATTAAAACAGAATCTCTCTCCGAGTAGTGCACATTGCAAGCTTTAATTTTAAGACCTTGTGGAAGTCTCTAACACGTCAGGTTAAAGAGAAAAAAAATGTTGAAAATCCTCAAAAAGCGTTTTACTAAAAAGCGTTTTTTTTTTCCCCACTGGGATACTATTTCCTAAAAAGTTAACTTTTTAGAAAATATTTGAAGAAATTTTAAACTATCATGCAATGTTCAGTTAACTTTTACGTCAGACATTGGATAACAGCGGGCATTTAAAGAACAACTTCAAGTTTCATGAGCTTCGCAACTAAAGATTCCGAAGGTTGTTTACTAAGAAAAAACGGACTTAGCCGACCGTTGAACTTACCTGACTCTCCCCTACAGAGATTTTCAACTGGGATGCGACTTAGAAAACTTTATTAAACATATAATATATATAAAATATTTTAAAGATTTAAATCAAAAAATTGCAAACCGTTATTTTTTCAAAATTTTTAATTTTTAAAACTCTTGTAACTCCCCGTGTGGAAATGAAATCTAGGCACCAGCTATAACATAGTTGGGGAGTACAAAGGTAGTTCAAGCGCTGAACTAAACATGGATACGTCGTAGTGCCCAAATTCTTTCCTTGTAATCGTGCTATGGGAAGGGACTCCAGGTATAAGTTGTGCACTGTTCGGGCTTTTAGTTAGGTCCGAGCCAAGAACGTCACTATCTTTTATTCAGAGTCTATCTGGACAAAATATCAAAATTCTTTTGATCAAATATCAACTAAAGTAATATAAATAATTGTAATATTGTAAATATTTTTTTAACAATATGTAACAGATTTTAATTATAGTTAAAAAATTAAATATTATTTAATGTGGGTTAGCAAAATTCGAAAACGTCGAATCAAAGTTTTCGTTTATTTTAACATTTATGAAAGGTTTATTAATTATGAGCCCAGCTAGCCCCCGATCAAAAATATAAAATTCTGTAACGGCAATCTCGGGATGTTTCCACACGGGTCTAGATAGACTTAATGTTGAATTTTTGCTAATAGGTGATTAAATGCGCCTTAAAAAAACTCTGCAAAATTCCAAGCAGCACGTAAAACTATCTTAATACATTACACTGAATAATTTATTATCCGTAATACTACCTGTATACTGCAGTAATAATACAATGAAAAAAGAAATTAAAAACCGATTACTTGACTATTATTAAATAAATATTTACTTAAATCAAATAATTTTTGTTTAAGTCAATTAAATGGTATTCGAATCAATAATTTTACAGTATTTGAAGCAAATACTATTTAATAGACTCAAATAAAAATTATTTGAATCAAATAAATCTTTTTTCAGTCTATTGTGATATTAAAATCTCCACTGCAAGGTAATATTACACGTTGACATTGAGGAAATTAATATTACCAGAGTTAACTGAAATACTTTGGTTTTTCTAAAAAAGAACATTTTTTTATGGCTTTTAATTTACTTTTTCCCTTGCTTTCTTTAAAAACAATTTCTGAGTTTAAAAGTAATTTTACGTATAACATTACTATTTTGTTTAATATTAAGGTAATATTACCATGCAGTTGACATATTAAAATATTTTAATATGCTAGTAATATCACTAATATTACAAGTAATATATCGAATATTTATGTATAATATTACAGCGTATTAAGTTGATATTACGGGCTGCTTGGCAATGAGAGAGCAATATAATATTTATTGTTGTCTTTATATTTTTTAAAGAATATAAATACCGATGGGTGGGAACCATTTTTTTAAATTTTAATAAAAAAAACACCAAAAAATATTTTTCTTTCAATCCCAAAATCAGCAAGTAACATATTATCTTATTACCACTGCAATATTACATTGAATATTTGTAATATTATCTGTAATATTATAGTGATCTTACACTGAGAAAACTGGAGAGTCAAATTTAGAAGTTCAAAAAGTGTATGCTTCCTTTGCTTATGAAGAGAGTTAAATAGTCCTTCTAAAATAAATTTTGAATTGATAATGGAAATCTACTTGTATATTCTCTCCCATTATATCTGAGGGTTAAAAGTTGCGCAGAAAATGTGTACGATCTGATGCGCGCGAAATTATTTTTCTGACATTTTATGTATTTAATTTAGGGGTTAGGTTGCCATATTTATTCATTTCGCGCCGGATAAGGAAGGGATTTCTCAAGATGGTTAATTTGTCCCTCTGTTATAAACTCATTTTCGCTCCAAGAGAAATGGCACGAATATCTGTCAATGGTGTATTTGAACATTTAGATTGTTATCCAATAGCTAACTCTCAAATATCAACGATTTGTCCCTCCAGATGTTTAGTCCAATACTCCAGTTTTCTCAGTGTACTGAGATATTAAAATGTTCGTTAAATGGTAATATTACTTTTATATTAAATGGGATATTAACGTAATGTGAACGCAATATTAACATCGAAAATTTTTTTGGATAAAAACATCTTAGTTCACCATCTAATATTACCCTAATATTAACGGGTAATATTACGAAGCACCGGACATTTTAATATGGCAGTAAGATCACTGTAATATTACAGGTTATTGTAGTAATTCTAGAAATTTAATACTTTAACAACGCTTTTAATAAAATTTCCTGATATTTTCCTAATTTTCCTGGCTTTTGGTAAATCCTGTATATGTATAAAAATTATTTGTAATTTGTATAACTTTAAAAAATAAACTACCTTAGAAAATATTCGTAAATAAGATTTTGGCAAAATTTTTTAAAACAATTCAAATGTTTTAGGAAAGTTATTACCATACTAACTATTATATTTTTAAATATCACGTATAAAATCTTGAAAATAATTCAAAGAACATTAAAACATGTCAATTAATTTAGAAAATATTTTAATTTTAATAAAGCATGTCAAACTCAATAATTTGTTTTTGTTTCTTTTGAAGATTAATAACTTCTTTTGTGAAAGGTTTAGTTTTAAAAAAATTTTAATATATCTTATAGTGTCTTATAGAAATACAAAATTTGTATTAATAAATTTCAACAATACAAATTTTTATTTATAGACGAGTACGACAGCTAGTATTTAATAAAATATATAAAGATAAATAATATCAGTTTACATGAAAAAATGTTAAATTTATTGTTATACATCAAAATTTTATATCAATTTTCCTTATAATTAAAAAAAATCAATATATAGGTAATTGAATTTGCTAGGAATATTTCCACTTAGTAATTTTTCAATGGTCACCAATGTTCACAATATTTAGATTCACTATTCAAAAAATGATACATACATATATTTAAAATAATCACTATATATGCAAATTACGATTATTTAAAAATACATTTAAATTTTTCAGTTTCAGAAGTAAGAACAAAGTATGTACAAAAAGTTTTTCTTCAAAATAAAGTAAAAAAAGTGTGTTAATAAAAAAAATAACAGTATTCAGCTTGTTTGAAATAAAACTTTTCCTTGAGTGTATTGTGGCGCTATCTGACTTTCAACATCGTCATGAAATTACGTAAATTTACGTACTTTCAAAGAAATTTTTCAATCTGTCGAAAGTGAAATACTGAATTTTTACTTTTCTTTAAAATATTAATAAATAAAATAATATTAAGAATAATAATGTAAAATTAATAAAATAGTATAATAACAAATAAGAGAAAAATATATATATTAAGTTACTATGATTGGATACTAAGAGTGTTGAATAAAACATTCCATAAGTAAATCCAGGACATAAAAGTTCCCACACAATTTTATACTTATATTATCTTATTTTTGTAGTCAAAGATAAAAATAAGTACGAATATTTCAATTGTTTATCAGAAACGTATCTTGTATTATTGAGAAAAAAATGTTTTAACCTTTCTTCTTTTATTTTATTTTTAAACGAGTTAAATATTCATTTTTATTGAAATAATTATATTATAATTTTCATATGAAAAATTGAAATCCGTTTTATTTGAAGCGAATTTTAGAAGAGGAGTTAGATTTTTGTGTAAATATTCTAACATAGAGATGGATTTATAAAAAGTAATGTTAATAAATAGTTTAAAAGTAGAATATACGTGAAATAATTGGTAGTGCGGGTACCGTTTTGTTGAAATTACGGTCCTGAATGCTGTTTCATCCTGCTTTCCAGTATCATGCCAGAGTGCAGGTGGACCGAGAGGTTACGAAAATAGCCGAACGTGGTTGGTAGAAAACCGAACCGAACGAACTGAACGTCGCGGCACGACGGTTCTTGGTAAAGACTGTTGTCGAACTATACTCAGTAATGCTCTGTATGGTGAGCTAGTCTGTAGTAACTATTTACTCGGCAGTTTTAGACAGAAATTTTAGTGCGAATCGTCTTTTTTTCTTTAAAAAAAAACGGAGTGTATAAAGTGTTGTTGTGTTCAATAAATTTTGAAGGAAGAGAGTAAAAAAACTCTACTCCTTTCGTCATCAAAAATCAACACGAACCTGTTTACCAATCAGGCGGATTTCTATCACTCGAAGACCTTGTTTCCTAACAATCAGTACGACTAATCTTTACCTCTGGAAGTTGTCTCAGACCAAGATGCTGTTACCACAGTCTGATATATGATGGTGGAACATTCTTCAGGTGATTTTAACATGATTTAGTTTCAATGGAAATGACAAAGGTTTATAGTAACTGACTAGTATTGTAAGCTTAGTTCACTCACTAAAAGTGTTGGGTAAAAAATAAAGAAAAAAAAGCTCCACTCAGAAATTGTGAAAGTGTTGAAACTTTCGCGTCTTCTTTAATTTCATCAAGCCGCCGATGACGGTATGTGAGAAAAACATCCAAACTTTTATTATTTTTAGATATTCCTTTGTTAACTAGAATATTTTTTTAAATTGTCATTATTCTTTTGTCAGGAGAGTAATGGTAGAATGGAAAGGTTGCTTGAACACTCTCAGTTGCAGGAATGTTTCTACTCGTGAGTATCAGAGCAGTCGGCGATATTTTCGTATCATTCATAATGTTCCTCAGCGAAATTGGTGGCATGTTTGGAATGACAGATTTGACGCGTGGTAACCTCGTGTTCGGTAGTTTGAATTCGAAGCAATCCCGCGTTTCCTTGGCCTGTGTTAGGTGTTGGAGGGGTTAGTGAGGTGCGGTACAGAGAGGATAGGAGCGCTGTAATGTTAGAGAGGGCGAGAACGCGACCGAGGGGTAACGGGAATAGGCCGCTTGATTGTGACAGAATGTGGGCGAGGGGAAGGGAGGGGTGGCGGGCGAATAAGCAGAATAGAGGCAACCTCTTCTTTTACTTGGCCAGTTGGAGAGGAAACCTAGCGTCTGACGTAGTGGGAATGGGTAGGGGTTTTTCCTGAACGGAGTGGGGCTTTGATTATGACCAACTGTCAAGGGGGCAGCGTTACCATAGTTACCACGACGACAACAAGCTGCTGAGGGGATGTTTTGTAGAAAGACTATCTTTTTTTTACATTTTTTTACTCTCTCTCTCCTCCCCTACTCTCTCTCTTTCTCTCTCTCTCTCTCCCAACATATACATATTCTTTTTTGTATTTATTCCCATTCGACACGAAAAATGGGGAACATTAAATTTATCCTGTCTTTAAAATTAAGTTTTTTTAATCATTCTTATTGAATCAGTTACCAAATCATCAGAGTTCTTTTACTCCCAGAAATATTTGAAACCAAAATATTTGTTTATTTAAAGGTAGTTGATTTTGTTTCAAGTACCCTAATAGTACTTTGAATTATCTTGAGGTTTATCGGAACACCGTTGAAAATTGCTAAGGCTGATGATTTATTTAGTATTGGTCCAATACTTTCACCAATATTGGTTCAAGGCTGAAAATAAAGAAACCAATGCCAAGTCTCAAATTTAAATATCGGACCAATATTCTGCCGTACAATCAAGAAGGCTAGAGACAGGAGGTGAAACTTCGGTAGTGGGGATGAGTCAAGAGCCTTTCTTTAACCAGGCGTTTTTCGTTTCGAAAAGTCGCCGGCGCGGTGCTTCTGCACATCACTCACACATTCAAATTCTTGTATACCGTATGTTTTACATGCGTCTATGATATGATTTTAATTTGAGGTTAACTTTAAAGTGCAATCGAGACACAATTGACAATGTGTGTCATAACGGATATATAGAAATAATGTGAGTGATTATTAAATTAAGTGTTATTCAAATAGTTAAAAATTCCGAAAACGTGCTGTGTGAAAAGTTGTAACAAGAAGAAAGATAAACACAACATTATGACTATTACTTTTTGTTAACTTTTAATACACTTCGTGCTACAGTTTACACATTTTTTTGTTTTTAAAACTTTTTTTTAATAACTAAAAGATGTTTGAAAATATAAACACTTATATTTCATATTGTATTTGTATAGAATATATTTTCCCGTGTTTACGTGTTTAGATGCGCAGAAGTCCAAGTGGTCTATTGCGGCGAAAACTTTTTTTGAAAGTAAACGCCTGACCATAAACCAGCTGAGCGACTCAGCATTGTCATACCCCCACTACCGAAGTTTTACCTCCTGTATCTAGTCTTCTTGCGTACAATGTAAAAAAGTCTATAACTTTCACTTTTAGGTTGATTTTAGCTTGTAGGATTACGGGAAAATAACCTTAAGGCAAATTACAGTTATGGATTGTTTGCATGGCAGTTTCGTTTTGCATTAAATATTAATTTTGTACCAATATAATCAATATAATTCTATAAATGTCCAATAGATGGCAAGTAGTCTCGTTGCACAACGCGTTTAGTAAGAAGTTTGAATGGGAAAACGAGAGTAGCGCCCCTGGCGGTTTAGTAACACTAATTATCCGTATAGTAACCACAGTCCCTAGCAGGCTTCTAAATTGTCGTTTTTTGTTGATAACGGTCATCTGACAATGAGTAGACAGAGGATTAAATAGGTCCGTCAAAAATTAGCAAAAACTGTTTGGTTATCACAAGTGAAATAAGAATCTATCTATCACCATCCATTTCTTTCCACAGTGGATTATTTCGTAAAATTTGTTATGGTAAAACTTGGATAATTTGTTACTTAGAATACAAATTTCCCCACGGAAATTTGAGTTTAGTCCCAACGAAGCCATGTTTCTGATAGATTAAAATATAGTCTAGCTCTGTCCCACAAAAAGCCAGACTTGTTCTCGATCGGGAAAGTCGTTTCCTTACAGATTGGGACCAAGTTTGATAATTTATGCACAGGGTACTGCATTTTATTTCAAAACGAGTTCGTCTTTCGATGCACCTTTTACATTGTCAATAGAGCTGTCCAGCGTGACGTCATTTTGAGAACCATGTGGTAATTTAACGTAGATTTTTATTTTACCAACATTGATCGTCGGTAAAATAAAAATCTATGCTAAATTGCCACTTGGTTCCCAGAATGACGTCACACTGGACTGCTCTATGCTCATTTCTTATTTCGATATTTTTCGATATATTCGACGTTTTCTCGCAATGTCTTTTTCAATTTTGATGATTGATTGAATGATTGATGATGATTGATGATTAAAGAAAGGATAACATTAATGATGAAGGAGTAATTAACTGCGCATGACAAATAGATGAATAATCGAGATTCTGATCTCTTCTTTAATTGATGACTAACATAACCCTTTAGTCTGAAAAAAGTTTTGTGCTTTTATTTATTCCTCAGGTTCTTTATCACCATTTTTAAATGTTGTTGTAACTGTTTGAGACATTTTTATTACATTTGTTGACTTATTATTTTTAACAAAAAGGAATTTCTAAATATAACATACTCCTATAAGAGTTTTTCTTCCATCATTTCCCTACCCTTTTGAGAAGAAGGAATGAAGGTAAACCAGTTCACGAATTGCAAAAAATAAGTAGTTTAAAAATATTTTATCATCCCTTTCTGATTGGTTCAAATTGAGTCATTAAACAGAATATGTTTTATATGAATTCTTGCAGAGGGTGTTATAGTAATTGTAAAGTATAGTCTGAAAACTGTCAATTCTGCAGTAAATGTACAGTGTGTCCAGAGGTCAGGGAAATGTTTTTATAAATTTATTAAAAAAATTGAATTTTTTTCTGAATTACAAAATTTTGTAATCTAACAAGACTTAATGGTTATATTCTTGTCACAAGAAAGCAGGGATCATCCATAAACCACGTAGCCCCATTTTTTTTTTGAATTTTGACCCCCCCTCCCCCATGTAGTACGCTATTACATGTATTAGCGCCATTTTTTCCTCTTGTCGTAGTCAATTGCTTGACCCCCCTCCCCCTCAAGAGGGTACGTGGTTTATGGATGGCCCCCAATCCTTGCTGGACACCCTGATACAGCTAAATAAAAGTTGTTTGAATGATTTCTTTGCAGCCACATTAACTGTTTCACTATAGACTATACAATAACTAATCTTCACATGTAAAGTTCCAGGATGTCCTAGTTGACAAACTGGTTGGAACAACTTTGATGTAACAGTTAGAACTAATATATGTAAATATAGTTAGAAAAACTACTTTTACAGTAATATAAACTACTTTTTTTAATTGGCACTATTTTCTAGTGAACGAAAATTTTCAAGCGCTGAGAATTGAACGTACGACCTAACCGCTTACAAGTCGCATACTTAATCGCTTATTCATGGACGCACATGACAAAGGTTTGATTGAAAATAGACTACTTCCCCTAGTTATTTTTACTGTTTTAACTAGATAATTTGACTAGAACAACTTTTTAAAACTAGGATATATTTGTTATATTTAATGGAAAAATGTTTGCTACTCATACATATACACTGAGAAAACTGGAGAGTCAAATTCAGAGGTTCAAAAAGTGTATGTTTCCTTTGCTTATGAAGAGAGTTAAATAGTCCTTCTAAAATAAATTTTGAATTGATAATGGAAATCTACTTGTATATTCTCTCCCATTATATCTGAGGGTTAAAAGTTGCGCAGAAAATGTGTACGATCTGATGCGCGCAAAATTATTTTTCTGACATTTTATGTATTTAATTTTGGGGGTTAGGTTGCCATATTTATTCATTTCGCGCCGGATAAGGAAGGGATTTCTCAAGATGGTTAATTTGTCCCTCTGTTATAAACTCATTTTCGCTCCAAGAGAAATGGCACGAATATCTGTCAATGGTGTATTTGAACATTTAGATTGTTATCCAATAGCTAACTCTCAAATATCAACGATTTGTCCCTCCAGATGTTTAGTCCAATACTCCAGTTTTCTCAGTGTAGTTAAAACAAACCTTATAAGTGATAATAGTTGTTAATAATCTACAAGTTTGGATTATTTTGATTTAACTCAATCAGTATACTTCCGATTGCTTTACTGCAGATATTGTTTTTGAATAAAGAAAGGAATAACTTTGGTTTTATATGTAACGATGTTATTACAAATTAAATTCTACACCCAAATGCCCTTCCGGTTTGACGGAATTTTGAAAAGTCCTGAAATTTCTATAAAATATTTTTAGTTCATTTTTATTCATATGTCATGAACTAAAAGCATTATGACAGAAATGACACGACTTTTCAAAATTCCGTCAGACCGAAAGGACAACATAAATATATGTGTTTGGGTGTACATAAGCTAGTTTTCGAATATCTATAATATTTATTAATTTAAGTGAATGTTGCTGCAAGTAAAAAATGTTTATATGTGAGAAAATGTTTCAACACAAAATTTTCCTGAATATTGTACTGGAAGAAATTTGACAAAATTTTGAAAACATTTAGATAAGTTTTAGATGTGTATATTTAATTTTAATTATATATACCTTTCTACTTATAATGTTTGTAATTTTACAGCTGATTTTGAATTACTCACCATTAAAAATTTTTTATTAGCATGTAGAATTACTTTATCCTATACGACATTAGTTCAAAAGTCAGAGTTGATTATATTCAAAATTTTAATAAATAATAAAACGAATATATTAGGACAAGTTTTTAATTGAAATATGTAATTACAGCTTTACAATTATAACATTTTATTTTAAAAAATTTGTTTTTAAACTTTACTCTTCTTACACTTTAAAAATGTTTACCTTAATGAATTCACTGTTTAAAATTTTTTTTCTATTCACATTAAATTCGTAATTATCGAATTTCAGAAAATTATACACAAATTTTTACTACTTTTATTTGACTTTTTTATAATTAATCATTATATTGGATTTGGCACTTAAAATTTCAAATTTACTATTGATAATAGATTTGTAAAATCTGTGTCCATAGAATAAGCCTAAAGGTGTAACAATAAAAGAAAAGTCAGGAAATTTAATTAAAAATTTTAAAACTTTATTAATTGTACAAAAATAAAAATTGATTTTAAAATTTTCTCCGACTATATATGTATATGATTAAGTCATCACCATTTGATCAATAAGTTGATAATAAATAAAATATTTTATCTTTTTTATCTTAAAATTACTTTAATATTAAACAATTCTTATACTTGTAAGTATAAAATATTTGTTAAAATTAGAAGGAATGTTAGAGAAAATCCATGAAATTTTTTTTCTTAATTCTTGCTGAACACCATAATGGTAATCTCACTAATATTCAATAAGAAATGCATTACATTCACAATTTTGATGCATTCTGCACAAAGTTTCTACAACCTAAAAGTGAATTAAAAGTAAAATTCTAAAATTATTCTTTTTCTGTTACATATTAACTAAAGTTTTATTCATTTTTTCAGGTAAACTGCTTGAACATACACTAAATCGGATCTCGGTTCTTTGGAGCTCTTCTCTATTTCTTCAAGAAGTCCAAATTTTATTCTGTCTCGAACAGTTAAGGCCTCCAAGGTGCAATAGTGTCGGAAAATGTATTGGTGAGTACTCCTATTTTTTTGTCTAAAGGCTTTGTATTAAAGTAATTTTGTTTCAAGATAAATAAAATAGTTTTTCTAATAGTTTAAAGCAATTTTTAGCAATTTTTTGATAAGTCAGACATTCAAAAAGTTATTTTATAACCTTAAATTTAATTTTTTTTAAATATTTATATTTAAAGATGTTAGATTTAAAATTTAACTATAAATTTAAACCACTTTATTCAAGATGACCTAAAAATTTAAGGAATAACTGAATACAAAATTGAAACTTACGAATTAACCAGGGTGGCCACATGTCAGTAAAGTCAGGGAAATGTCAGGGAAAAAAATATTTTGTCAGTAAAGTCAGGGAAATGTCAGGAAAAAATTTTTTTGTCAGTAAAGTCAGGGAAATGTCAGGAAAAATCTTTTTGTCAGGGCAATTAAAGAAGAAGGGAAATGTCAGGAAAAATACATTTTTTTTACACATTTTTTGCTCTAAACAAAAAAATTTTTGTCAGGGAAATTCGTTGTTATGTCAGTAAAATGTCAGGGAAATTGATAAAGTCAATCTTGCGGTCACCCTGTTAACGTAACGAAATTTAAATTTTAAATTTAGAAAAATAACATCAGAAAAAATAAAATTTACTTCACCTAATTTTGTTAATGAACTAAAAAATTGTTTATCCACATATCGTAAAACTACGTTTTTTTAAATTCTTCCTTAAAAGTCAGATGCATATGAATGGACTAATCTTATTATATATCAAGTGTCGACTTTTAAAAAGCGAAGTTTTTAATTGATTCCTTAATTGATATATCTTGTTGATTAGAAGCGTTAAAATATTTGCTTATTATTACAGACTAATTCTTCAGACAAGAGATTTTTTAAATACTGTAATTTTGAAACAGAAATTGTATTTTTTAAGAAAATTTATCGCTTACATGTATATTATCAGTTTATGCTGCAGGGTAAATATGACGCGACACGAAAAAAGTGAGCTAAGAAGCAAAATCTTTTCAGTTATATTTATTATATTTTTACTTTGAGTAAAGGATTCTTTTTTAAATTTTTGAAATGAAAAATAATTTGTATTCCATAATTTAAGTATAATAAAGGCTTAAGCAACGTTAGTTTCGAATTGAGAGTTTACCTACTTGATGTATTTTCAGTTAAAATATAACAAACATAACCTACAAGATTTTGCTTCTTAGACCCTTTTCTTCGTGTCACGTCACAATTGTAAATAAAAACTGCAACAAATGTAAGATTCAATCAGTTCATCATAAATGTTGCGCACCTCAAAGCAGCTTTTGTCTACGATCATAAATTGTAAGCAGTTTATTTCTGCCTTACAATGAAAAATCTGTTGTGAGTTTATACTGTGAATTGAGATGAAACATTGAAAGAAATATTGGTTTATTAATACCAATGTATTTGGAAGTTTATAAAAATAATTTTTTAATCGAATATTATTTTGACCATGCACATGGCAGAGAATTCAGGGTAGAATGTTTTTTTAAAATGGAAAAGGCAAATATTGAATAAGAATTTGCAGAAGGTAATAAATATTCGAGAGTGCTTCTTAATTGCGATGTAGGATTTCTTACTTCATTGATGATTTTTCGAACGATTGAAAGAACTGTGTGAGAGGCGAGGTTGGCCCTTTTCGACAGGCCATTAAATTCCACTGTTAAGTTAAAAATTGAGACAAACGATTTGAGTTATTGTACGTCATTTGCTTTAGAACTTGCTTCTTTGAATAACAGTTATGTAACTGCTTCTTAATAGTGCTTACTGGGTTAGAAACCACTGTCATACATACCACGATCGCATTAAATGTTGATGTTGGTGATAATTACTGAGCTGAATAGTCGTTAGGTGTAATGAAGCCCATTGATCCCTATTCATTATATTCTCTTTTGGTGTTGGCTGAGACGGGAATAATTAGGCATGCCAATAAACAATCAATTGATGTATGCAAAAGAGAAAAGCCATAATCCATAGCTTTGAGATGCCGATCATTATTGCGAATTCCGAGTGGCGCGCGGCGTGGTCTCGGCACTTATCGAAAAGATGAATCACCTCGGCGCACGTGAGCAGTGATCTGTATAGTTTAAGAGATACGACTGTTGTGTGGCTTATGTAGAAACGAATAAACGAGTCAACAAGGGCGACACCACAGCGTACAGTTGACCATGAATGAAACCTATTTATTTACGAGAGTAACAACAGGTGACAATCGCAATGTTTACATTCTCCATCAGCATAAACCGGCTGACAATAGAAGTAGGGTGACTGAAGGAAGACAATAAATATAAAGTAGGCGAAAAGAAGACAGACAATAAGTCTGCAATTTCAACCAGTTCATCGTTCTGTCTTATGTATATGTATCGAAACTTTTCTTTCTTATTTTTCCCATCTATTTTATTTATTTTTTAAAATAAATAAAATAAAATAAAATTCTTCAACAAATCAAACTTATTCCAGAGTATTTAAAAGTTTATAAAAATGGTTTTCACAAAATAATTTGCATAATTACTAAAAGTTTGTACTTTTATAAAACTAAGGTTATTATATTTGAGTCCAGGTTTATTTTTGTTAAGTAATCGATTATTTCATAGAATGTCACCTTTTTAAATTTTGGCACCTATTTTGTAAATTTTTACATATTTTTAATTAAAGCTATTTTCTGAAAATCTTTAATTAATTTATATTTCTATAAATTTAAATTCAAAATAAATTGTTAAAACTTTCATCGATGAAAATCTTAATTGACTGAATTTAAAACGTCAAAATTTTTAATATAGCTAGGATATAGAAACTTTATGATTGTGCATAAAAGCATAAATTTCAAAAATGTTATCTAGTGTTAAAATTCCCATTATAAAGTATTTTTTACAATAATAATTGCAATTTCCAAAAGCATTAAAGAACATAATTTTATTTGCAACCCAGTAAGAAGTAAGGAATTAATAAGAATTCGAAATTTTTAATTCTTTTGAATTCCGTTTGTGACCAATTCTTTTCATTTTCATTTGGAGAAGCCGAAAAAAGCTAAGTTTATTCTTTTGAATACCGTTTTAATATTTTAAGCGGAAAAAAAATTTGACGGTTCGAAGATTTGAACCCTCAAGCTTAATTGTCGGAGACAAACAGCTTGTCCGCTCAGCTGTTTAAACTGTACTATGACTACCGAATTTTAGAAGCACTTATCTCAAAGTGTTGCAAACTTCAAAGGAATTAAAAAATTACAAAATATTAAAACGGAATAGACAGGAATTGAACTTATCGAGTATCACACAGTATTTCGGAATTCACAAAAATTCAAAAATTAAAGAAATATTAAAACGGAATTGATTGGAATTCACTTTCAAGAAATCTTTGCCTCAAAAAGGAATACATAGGAATTGGAGAGAAACGGAATTCAACAAAATTGATAATTTTACATTTTCTGTAAAAAGTTAAAATGTCCAATTCTTCTCAATTCCTTACTTCTTACTGGGAAAGCAGCATAATCTAGTCTCATTATATTATAATATAAAATGTCAATTGATTTCATCAATTTATTATAATGTACCCAAATTTTAATTGATTTAAGTTTTAAACAATTGATAATAATTCAATTTATCTCAAATTTCTTTCCCCTATTTAATCTTTAGTTATTAAGAAAAAATAAAATTAATGAAAATATGAATAAATACAATTTACTTATTTTACATATTATTTTATGTTATATAACTTTTTTGTCATCTATTTTAAAAATAATTCATCTTTTTACCTATTACAAGGAAAAATAGTACTGTGATCCCTGACTGCATGAACACTGCTTTCTAATAGAGATCAAAGCTGGCTAAAATGTTTTAAAAAATTTTTAATTTTTGAAAAATCAATAGTTTCTCAAAAGTAGGTCGTCAAAGATTTATAAATAGATGAATGGATGGGCTTATAAAATATTTTTTATAATTGTAAACGATTTTTATTATAATAAATCACAGAACGTTCCAGGGATGTCCGTGTACATCCTAAGGACATCCTTAAAATATATAAATTTCTGACAATGTTCGGACAGCTAGTCCGTAGAATTTTCTGAAATATCCGGTGTTGTGGGGGTTGAACTTAGGTACATAAAATTTAACAACAAAATACAAAAAAAGATACGTTTTTCAATTTTAATAATTATTATCACTCTTGGATGGAATGATAGTTGGTGTTCCTTAATTGGGCAATATTGCTACTTAGTTTTATAAAATTGTAAAAATTTGTACTAAAAGCCCATTGCAGGGCACTCATGTTGCTCGGGTTTATGCGAAAAGCAAATAAGATGCTTACATTTTCACGGAAAAAACCTGAGTTTAAAATGATCTCTTCTCGTTTAACATTGGTTCTATTTGATACGCAGCAAAAATTTATAATTGAAAAGAATGAATAATTATTTTTCCTGTGTACATATTACTGTATTCATGTGTAATATTAAAAATGTTTTTTGTGCTCTATTGGTAACAGAATTCCCTCTATACAATATCTACAACATAATATGTTTAAGTAAACCAAATGTCATCACTCTGGGTCAAATAGTGTATCTTTGCGGTAGGCAAGAATACTTTCTGTAAATGAAAATAAAATATAATTCTTGTTCTTGCATATTAAAACAATAACAGGGTGTCTAGCGAATTATGATTTTCAAATTCCCGGATTTCCCAAACCTAAAACTAAATTATTCCCGAATTTATTTTTAATACATTAATGACTATACTATTAAAATTTAATGATTTTTTAAATACAGTGGAAACTGAATGATCCGAACTAATTCAGGCAGGATTTGGTTCAGATAATCGAAAGATCGGATAATAGAAATTGCAATTATTTTCGTTTATATTTGTGGATAAATGATTGTTTTGGAATTATTTTGCAATATCCAATAGCATTTATGTCTTCTTTTAGATATTTACATTAACATTGAGGTTCAACTGCAATAAATTAAAAATGTGGACTGAAATTTAACGTGAAATTGCCTATA